CAAATAATAATATGCAAATACCTTTTAACGAAACTGAACTTGAAAACGTTATGGGTCCGTTAACAGCCTTCTTTTGCACTAGATGTAACCGCGAACCAGCCTATAATTCAATGTGTTTAAAAATCGCAGAAATATTAGATCAATATTATATTCAACACCAAATTTACAGTGAAGAACATATTCGATAAATAAATTAAACAAAACAAAATATAAAATAAAATAATAATAAAATATAATACGTGCATAAAGAAATAATACGTAAAATAATATCCTATAATTTAAATAAATAATATTACGTGCAATAATATATACATATACGTAAATAATATTCTAAATAATACTAATATAACAATAACTTTTAACTATTTCAGAAATTAAGAAGAAAACAAAAAATATATATAAAAACAAACGTAAAAATTTTAAGTACAAAATGGGTGAAAACATACCACCTGTAGCACGAACCGTTCGAATGCAACTACAAACATTTGAGTTTCTCAGAGAGTTAAAAAACGAATTAATTGAATCAACCAATCATACACAAATAATGCGAGGGGAAGTGATCAGATTACATTGCTTCCCAGAACATATAAGAAGGGCAAATAGTAATATGACCATACCTTTCAGGCCAAATTTCTTAGCACGGGTCATGATCCATGTTAACGATTTTGTACGCACAGTTATCTTAAGACCAAATCATAATCGACCAATGTGTGTAGAGTTGGGTTTACTGATAGAACAACTAATCAGACGACGAGAAATCATTGAAACGATTTTCGAAGAATAAATCAGGAAACTATATCATATATCAAAATATCATATATCATGTATCATATATCAAATATCATATACATAGTTATGAATACAAAAAACCAATTTAAGTTGTTTTTAAAGAAAAATAATTATTTTATTTTAGCTCACAGGTACGCTTTTTTATAATGGATTTCGAGTTCTTTACCGTCAGTAAGAACGAAACGATACTGGTATCCGGCGCGATATCGAATAGTTTAGAAAAATACCAACCCAAGAAATTGGAGGGGAGTCCTCTTATACTTACAAAGGATGATAAGTTAAGAAGATTCCGCCGATGCGACCTAAAGAAAACAGTGCAGAATATCAAACGAGTATTCCGAGGGAAAAAGGCAAGAGTGATTGAACCATTGCTGGAACAGTTGTACAACAGTATAAGTCGGCAGGGGGAATCAACCTTGTCTACGGTATACTTGCAAAGATATTTGCATATAAACGATAGGGAGCCACTAATAGTATTTTGGAACGGAACGACAGATATCACGATAATTAAGCGTTTAAGATTAACAGGAATTTTAGCATATTTAAATATATCGGCAATTAGCGTTAGGAATAATGACGAATTTGTATTAGAATTATCAAACCTAGAGACTAAGGAAGTTTTATATTCAGGTTATTTAGGTAAATTAAATAAAAATGGTAGAATGTTAGGACTATCAGAAGCTCATGAACTAGCATGCGATATTAATCATAATATTACACATTGTCACGATCCAGTTGCAGACGTAATCTTAACGAAATGCCTATTCAATTACATAGTAACAAAGATAAAGCCCATTAAATTATATAAATTAGCAAAAAAATATAAAAGGAATTTTAAGGCAAACTAAATAATAATTATTAGTCAATAAATAAATATAACACAAAATAAATTAAACAATAAATTAACATTTATTATATATCCAATTACATAATGAATTACCTTAAGTAAATCTATAGTTGCATATGTCTGTGACAAATTTAACAATTATTCACATAAATTAGTATATAGGTGAAGGATAAATATTATTATTATTATAAAAGGGGAAATACTTAAATTGTATACTTACGTAACGCTTATAATGTTATAATTTCAGGTACCTATATTATTTTATTAAAGATTATTAATCATTTTTATTAACACTAATTGTTTAATTAAATCATGTATTAATTTATTTTACTAACCACAATTAAAATCGTAAACAATAATAATAATAATGATGACATTAAAATTGTAAAATGCTCACATTATTGTAATCAAATGTAATACTATAATCAAATTGTTAACTGCATACAAATTTAAAATGTCAATGTAAACAATGTAATTCAGCCATTGTAAACTATTAATTAACGATGTTAAAGATTCTTAACCCTTAAAGGTTAACAATCTTTTTTTTGGTAGGGAGGTGTAATGGGATTACGCAATACCATATATTTTGCTCATAATAACAACCAGGAATGCGACCACACCCAAAAGTGTTTTCGACTACGAATACCACTTTCATAATCGTGAGGTCCATATCAAGGGCGACTGTACACGCGCCGCTCACTTTCAAAGGACGCCGCCACCATATATATAGGGGACAGCGAGACAGCCTGAGTTAGATGTATCCAGAGACGAGAACACCACACGACTCGCTTAGCCGCCCAGCCATCACACACGACTTACACGGAGATTATCAACTTCGGAACGAGCTACAAATTCACTACAATCAACACTATTATTCTGCTTGTTTTGCCTGGTTTAATATATTACATTTGATTATCATACTAATTTGACTATTATTATTTATCAAGTACACCAGCTTTTGGATCCCTGAAGGGCCGCATGTAACAATAATCTTAAGTATGGAGATACGTTACTTTATTTCTAATCTAAATTGTCGTGTTATACAGATTAAATAGTATATACTATAGTATAGTGATATAACGGCCATGCATAACAAGAGCAATTTACCAAAATTAATTTTTTGTAATATGAATAACACACAATCATAGTGAGTTGGGTACAAGTATTACACATTTAAGGTATTTTACTTTTATTAAGTAATTATAACAATTTCTTTATTTATAGGTAATAGATAAAATAAACTATCATAATGTAAAAACAAATTTGTTGAAAAAACAAATAGGTTTTTTTTTAATTTTCAAATTAAACATTTGATCAAATGTTCAAATAACTCAGTCTTTAAGTTTATCTATGCATCAAACAACAACTAAAATAATAACATAACAGGTAAAAATTAATATAATATAATCAACAAACTATGTCCTTTAAATATTAATGATAATCGTATATTATTTTTGACGGCAGTACAACTACTGCGGAGCCGCTGTACCCACTTTGCTTAAACATGACCACGATTTGAGATAGTTCCTATCACAGTATAGCCATAGAGTAATATGATAATAATATACACTATTATCCTTATCTGTGATGAGTATAACGATAACAATTTCACAAACTCGCACATGGTCGACCACGGACAGCCTGCGTCCCTCACAAGACGCAACGCCAAATTATTATGTGAATATTCTGTGACCGAACCATAACTTAACGTCTTTACTCACTCGACGGACTCGCCATAATCATTGATTATTATGATACAATTATTCGTTATTGTGAAAATAACTATTTAGTGTACTACTGGATACAAAAAATCATAGTCGTTCGACGCTCTCAAGTTTGCGGATGAATTTAGTTTTTATAATCGAGAAACTTCAAATTGTTTAAAGTGAGTTTATTAAAACGTTGATACATATTTTATAACAGGTAGGTATTTATAATAACATAGTTTATATTATTACATTGCATAAATGTATGTTTAATTATATTGTACATTAGGTATTTAAAATTAAATATTTTATACTTTTTTATATTGACCGAACCAGGTAGATACTTACAACTTACTACTTAGTACTTACGACTGAATCTACTAGATAAATAATAATACTACTGTGTTATTATAATAAGTTTCCTATTTTCCATACAATGCAGGAGTGGCACAAGTGCATCTTTGCTGTTCGGTCCTAAATCCTAATCAGCGCTAGTTGTTGTACATTTTGTAACTAAATTAATTTAATTAAAAGTTGTACTTGATGTGTGGTTTCCATCTTACTCATGAAGTAAATAATTCATCATCAAATATGGAAGCAAGTTAGGTATATGCATTTTAAAATAGTAATTTTCGTATGAACAAAATACATGTCTTTTTTAAAATAAGTACAGAGGAGTGTCTGTCCTCTGGGTAGTAATAGCTGTTAACTTTAAAATTCGTTTATGAAAAAATAGTTGAATTAATTTTAATATTAAAAATAACAGTAAAATTGTCCCGTTGTTAAGTTAAATATTTGTTTTGAGATACATGACATGGGTAAGACATTCTCATGATATCAACATACTTACACACTACTTATTTACTTAAATCAGAGTAATTTTTTGATTTCATCCGTCAAAACAACATGCCACACTGCGCAGTTCAATTTACCTTATACACAACAATCTAAACTGTTCAAATAGGTGACAGATTTTTTTATATCAATAAATTAAAAAAAACCTTAAAATTTAAAATTTATGATGATAGTTTTGTACATTTTTCAATTATTAGTAATATTATAAACTGTAGGTACCTAATCGACTATAGATATTACCTCTTTAGACTAATTTTGCCAAAAGTCAGTATCAAATACTCATAAATATTAAATACTACTATTAATCTACCTATATAGAATTAATTGCTAATACATAATATTATAATCCAAGACCACTGTGTGTTTTATATCTTTGTGTAAACTGGTAATAGTAAGGTGCATGTCTCTTGACAACAGATATACTTCAGAAGTCGAATTGTACCAACATTCCTGGCATTTGAAAATTCATTATCAGCCTGAGTGTAATACAAAAAAAAATATAATCTCATATTTTAGCAATTATGTTTTGTAATTAATTATCCTAAATAAAATTTAAATATACAACTTGAAATGCAACATTTAGGTACAAAATATACAAATATCCTGTATTTGTGAACCATAATTGAATATACATTTTGAAAATTACTGTAAGAAAAGCTGATTTTCATAGTACTTTTTATTTCATGAATTAATCTTCCAACGATTTGTATTTATACTTTTAATTTATTTTAAGATCAATTTCATACACTGTTTTTAGTCTTCATTGCATCAAGAACCGGACTTAGTGAACGATATAATCAGCAATGCAAAATACAATGCAAATTTCGGAACCCAGTCTATTTGACCAAGCCAAATACGAGTATAAGAAATCGTCGTATACAGAGATATATAAAGTACTACAAAACTTACGCCAGTAAGTAGTAAATGTTTAAAGTGCTAGATAAATATCAGTAACACATTTTTGTTATTAAAGATGAAGCTCTTTGTGATATCAAACTAGAAACGGACGATGGTAGAGTCATATTTGGACATAAGGTGGTCAACAAGTTCAGAATTATATGTTCAACAACACTTTTCGTACGAAATATTATTTATTATTATGTTTCTCTAAGAAAATTGTATACATTATTGTCATAATATGATTCCTAGGGATGTGATAGAAGGAGAAGAATTCCTGACCCTTTCATCCGAGAAAATGGTTAAGTTGGTCGCCAGTTGAACCAGAAAGAACTTTCAATTACACCCGAAGAAAAAGTATGCAATATAAAATTGATAATTGTTATTTTTTATTACCCATTACGGATGGGGAACTTAAGTAACCTACTTACAGTATAAATGTATAGTTAATACATAAATATATTGATATTGTAGGTATTTGAAAGTGTTATTCGATGGGTAAAACATGATTTGGTTTCCAGAAAACAAATTTTGCCCCAGTTAATGGAACATGTGCGTTACCATTAACAACGAAAGATTACATATTAAAAAATGTAGTTGACAAACCTCTTCTTTTTAATTGTTCTAAATGTAAGTTTATTTACTCTACATGATTTATTACGGATTAGTTTAAATTTTACATATTTTTAATTTTTTAAGGTAAAGATTACGTATTTGAAGCATTACATTTTCACTTACTTAAGTCAGAAGAACTTATCACCATTCCACATAACTTTCGGACAAAACCGAGGCAGAATGGTCATTCTAATAAAGTATAAATCCTACATAGTTTATTTCTCTTTCAAATATATTTAACGATTGAATTATAACAGGTTATTTTAGTGATTGGTGGAAGAGGGTACAATGGCCAAATATTTGATTGTGCAGAATGGTATGACTCAAAAATCAATCAATGGCAGTTTGGACCGAAAATGATTACACCATGTTACGCTGGTGGTCTAACTGTAGTAAATGATAATGTTCCATTATATTTGGGTGGTACAAATTTTGAATCAATTTTTCAATCTGCTTATGGGCCAAATTTATCTCCTTCAGAATCTTCTAAATGGACACCAAAATACAACATGTTAGCTAAACGACAAAGTTTTCGTGTTGGTGTGATAAATAATTATATATATGTCGTAAGTTATATTGAATTAATAAATTATTATTTTATTAATAATTTCTGTTATAATGGGTGTACTAACATAACGTAAATTATATAATAAATTCAAGGTTGGCGGCAGTGATGGTAACAGTATTTTAAACAGTGCAGAAGTTTTTGACTGCAGAACTCGAGAATGGTGTACGATATGTAATATGTCTACTAAATGAGCTGGTCATGGGCTTGGTGTTCTGAATAATCTTTTATCTGCGGTAAAATGTTTACTACTTAAAGATTTTAAATTTTGAATAGGTACATTTGTTATAATTGTAATGGGAATAAATAAAGTCCCTTTAGGAAAATCACAGAATTCCCAAAATAAAAAATGTTTGTAACTTAAAATTTTAAATTTAATTCATTAACATTTTAATAATATACTCATACAAATATTTGTTTAAATACCGACTTAATAATTACAAGAGAAACTGACTTTTTTCATTGATAACAAACTAAAATAATATATATTTTATCATTTATCTATCATTTTTATATCTTTTATCTTAATTTCTTTTTTTTTTCATTTTTATGTGTAAAGTTCTTGTTAAAAAAAAAACTTACTAATGTTATAAGTTAATTATATTGTATATGTTTGAAAATTTTAATACAAACTATGTAAGAGTAAATGTATGTCTTGATTTTAAATTTCTTATAACTAGAGACCGGATTTTTATGTTTTTACATCTTTTTACTGAGAGTATGCAGCTTCAATTTGATAAGCTTTCTGGACGATTCATTTACCTATAAACTGATATACAAAAGTTTTTAGAGCATAAAAAAGAATATTTCAGGGTTAAAGAATATTTTGTGCAAAAAACATGTTTTGGGAATATGTTGGTATATTGGGGTCTAATTTGAATATTTTATAAAAAATCTAAGTTAATAAAAAAAATTTTTTTTATAGTACCTATCATATTATTTATCTTGCCGAAAGGAATATTGAAAAGAACATAAAATTGATAAGAAAATCAATTCTAAATTTTTTTCTAGGTATATATTCTCTTATCTTATTTTTATAGACGGACCATGGTAGTATCATAGAATTGTATAGAATATACAATAGGCTAGTATTCTATATTAAGTTTAAGTTTCTAATATTATTCTTTTATTTAACTATTTTATGCAATATTATTTTATTTTTTGAATTCATAAGGCTGAATTATTTAAGTTTACATTGTTTTAATACATAATATTATTCTTTTATTTAACTATTCTATGCAATATTATTTTATTTTTTGAATTCATAAGGCTGAATTATTTAAGTTTACATTGTTTTAATACATAATATTATTATGTTATTCAACAATATACAATACGTTTTTGTTTTTATTATTTAAAACATGTTATTATTATTGGTTTTTGAGTTCATAAATCTGAAGTTTAGGTATGTAACTATGTGTTACACTCATACATCTAAAATACAATTAAACAATATAGGTACACTAGTCTATCATCATATTACCTGTAGCCTATAGGTTAAATATGAATGTTTGAATATTTTTTTAACGATTAGGATAAATTTAACTATTTTATACATTTTATAAACTATTACTTTTATTTATTTTTTCAGTATTTGATACATTTTTACGAAAAAGAATATTTTTGCATATTAAAGAATATTTTGATGAAATTATAGGGCATAGAAACATATTATTTCTAAGGTTTTAAGAGCATATAAATCCGGTCTCTACTTATAACTGTTGAATTTATACAATATTAAATTTAATATAATATAATAACTATTAATAAATGTTTTAGTTCATAAATATGAATTTCTTCTGGGAGAGTCTAGATCACTGAAAAAAATGTACAGGTAATAATAGATATAATGTTTTATTTTATTATAGAAGACAAAAATGTTTAAATTGTTTTTTGTTTATTTCACAAAGTTTTGTTACCGGCATCGAATCTTTTGCAGTTACAAGAAGTAAAAAAGGCATGTTGTGATTTTCTACAGGCACAACTATGTCCTACAATGTTATTGGAATAATTGCTTTAGCTGACTTACATAGCTGTACGACATTGTTAACAAGTTCAGAATTATATGTTCAACAACACTTTTCGTACGAAATTTATTATTATGTTTCTCTAAGAAAATTGTATACATTATTGTCATAATATGATTCCTAGGGATGTGATAGAAGGAGAAGAATTCCTGACCCTTTCATCCGAGAAAATGGTTAAGTTGGTCGCCAGTTGAACCAGAAAGAACTTTCAATTACACCCGAAGAAAAAGTATGCAATATAAAATTGATAATTGTTATTTTTTATTACCCATTACGGATGGGGAACTTAATAACCTACTTACAGTATAAATGTATAGTTAATACATAAATATATTGATGTTGTAGGTATTTGAAAGTGTTATTCGATGGGTAAAACATGATTTGGATTCCAGAAAACAAATTTTGCCCCAGTTAATGGAACATGTGCGTTACCATTAACAACGAAAGATTACATATTAAAAAATGTAGTTGACAAACCTCTTCTTTTTAATTGTTCTAAATGTAAGTTTATTTACTCTACATGATTTATTACGGATTAGTTTAAATTTTACATATTTTTAATTTTTTAAGGTAAAGATTACGTATTTGAAGCATTACATTTTCACTTACTTAAGTCAGAAGAACTTATCACCATTCCACATAACTTTCGGACAAAACCGAGGCAGAATGGTCATTCTAATAAAGTATAAATCCTACATAGTTTATTTCTCTTTCAAATATATTTAACGATTGAATTATAACAGGTTATTTTAGTGAAGAGGGAAGAGGGTACAATGGCAAAATATTTGATTGTGCAGAATGGTATGACTCAAAACTCAATCAATGGCAGTTTGGACCGAAAATGATTACACCATGTTACGCTGGTGGTCTAACTGTAGTAAATGATAATGTTGCATTATATTTGGGTGGTACAAATTTTGAATCAATTTTTCAATCTGCTTATGATCTAAATTTATCCTCTTCAGAATCTTCTAAATGGACACCAACCTACAACATGTTAGCTAAACGACAAAGTTTTCGTGTTGGTGTGATAAATAATTATATATATGTCGTAAGTTTATTGAATTAATAAATTATAATTGTAATGGGAATAAATAAAGTCCCTTTAGGAAAATCACAGAATTCCCAAAATAAAAAATGTTTGTAACCTAAAATTTTAAATTTAATTCATTAACATTTTAATAATATACTCATACAAATATTTGTTTAAATACCGACTTAATAATTACAAGAGAAACTGACTTTTTTCATTGATAACAAACTATAATAATATATATTTTATCATTTATCTATCATTTTTATATCTTTTATCTTAATTTCTTTTTTTTTTTCATTTTTATCGAGGTTCGACTTATCGAGGTTCCACTGTATGTCTTGATTTTAAATTTCTTATAACTAGAGACCGGATTTTTATGTTTTTACATCTTTTTACTGAGAGTATGCAGCTTCAATTTGATAAGCTTTCTGGACTATTCATTTACCTATAAACTGATATACAAAAGTTTTTAGAGCATAAAAAAGAATATTTCAGGGTTAAAGAATATTTTGTGCAAAAAACATGTTTTAGGAATATGTTGGTATATAAATAATAATAAAAGTTTATTGCAACATCAAAAATATACAAAGGTTAAATAGACTATAAATAAAAAGTTGCAACTCATCCTATAAGCAAATAAGCTTGAATGCGGATGAGTTGAGTTCTATTAAGGTATAATAAAAGTGCATAATGTAGGTAAACAAAATAAAATTAAAATTACAAATTAATTATTCCAAAATACAAAAACAAAAAATCTAAGATAGAACACTAATAACATGATTTTTATATTGATTAAAATTAATAAATGAAAAAATATTTATATTATATACTCGTAATAATAAAACACCTTTAATAATAGTGCTTTGATTACCAAAATTTGTTATACTATGAGGAATATTTAAGTTGTTATTATTTTTTAGTCTTGTATGGTAATCATGCGATGGTTGATAATCTTTAATTAAGTTTTTAATTTTATACATGTATAATAAAGTTTGACGTTCATATGATATCCTAAAAGGTTGAACATTAAGAATTGTAAATATTAAATTTGAAGGAAAAAATCTTGGTTTATTTAAAATAACTTTTATTAAAGATTTTATAGTTGTACATAATACATTAATATGACTGGAGTATGTACATCCCCAGACCAAAGAGCCATATAAATAAATTGATTGTGCTAAAGCTAAGAAAACAACCCTTAAGGTTTTTAGATCTAATATATTACGGAGTATTTTAAATTTATAAAATAATTTTCTAATTGAATTATTAACAGAAAAAATATGGTCAGCAAATTTTAGTCTGTGGTCAAAATTAATACCTAAGTATTTAATATTATACACTCTCTCTAAAGGAACACAATTACAGGGTAAATTTAAATATTTACAATTATAGGAATGTATACATAATTCAGAAGAACTATAAGACGTACACATACGGTTAGAAATATTAAAGATAATATATTTAGATTTAGTTAAGTTCAATTGAAGATTATTATTGTCACACCAATTCTTAATCAAATCCAGACATATATTCGACTCTTGTATTAATTTATTATAATCTTTATTTTTTAAAAGTACGACTGTGTCATCAGCATAGCACATAACATCAGCATTTAGGTTCAAGTTTAAGAGTCCATTAATATAAATGATAAACAATATTGGGCCAAGAACAGTACCTTGTGGCACCGAAAAACTATTGGTATTTATATCACTCAGGATTCCATCAATTCGAACTTGTTGAGGTCTATTTGAAATAAAAGATTTAATTAAGTTTAGGGCATTACCTCTTATGCCACAGAAATCAAGTTTTTTTGTTAATAACTCATGATTCACACTGTCAAACGCTTTTTTAAAGTCAAGAAAAATACCCAAAACTTTAAACTTTTTATCCAAATAATTATGAATGAAATGGGAAGTTTTAACTAATGGGTCAACTGTTGACATATTTGGACGAAAACCATATTGATTAGGTGAAAAAAATGAATGTTTATTCAGAAAAACCATAAGTCTTTTTTTAATACATTTTTCAAAAATTTTAGAAATAGTTAAAGTTAATGCAATGGGTCTGTAGTTACTACATAATTTTTTGTCACCTGATTTAAAAAGAGGCAGAATAATAGTGTATATTGGGG